GGAAATTGGCGACAGAAAGGGAGAAGCAGCTGACTACGGAAACTTAGGAACATTGTTTCATTCACTGGGTGAATACGAAAAGGCTAAAGAATACACCGAGAAAGCACTTGCAATCAGAAAGGAAATTGGCGACAGAAAGGGAGAAGCAGCTGACTACGGAAACTTAGGAACATTGTTTCAGTCACTGGGTGAATACGAAAAGGCTAAAGAATACACCGAGAAAGCACTTGCAATCAGAAAGGAAATTGGCGACAGAAAGGGAGAAGCAGCTGACTACGGAAACTTAGGAACATTGTTTCAGTCATTGGGTGAATACGAAAAGGCTAAAGAATACACCGAGAAAGCACTTGCAATCAGAAAGGAAATTGGCGACAGAAAGGGAGAAGCAGCTGACTACGGAAACTTAGGAACATTGTTTCATTCACTGGGTGAATACGAAAAGGCTAAAGAATACACCGAGAAAGCACTTGCAATCAGAAAGGAAATGGGCGACAGAAAGGGAGAAGCAGCTGACTACGGAAACTTAGGAACATTGTTTCAGTCACTGGGTGAATACGAAAAGGCTAAAGAATACACCGAGAAAGCACTTGCAATCAGAAAGGAAATTGGCGACAGAAAGGGAGAAGCAGCTGACTACGGAAACTTAGGAACATTGTTTCAGTCACTGGGTGAATACGGAAAGGCTAAAGAATACACCGAGAAAGCACTTGCAATCAGAAAGGAAATTGGCGACAGAAAGGGAGAAGCAGCTGACTACGGAAACTTAGGAACATTGTTTCATTCACTGGGTGAATACGAAAAGGCTAAAGAATACACCGAGAAAGCACTTGCAATCAGAAAGGAAATTGGCGACAGAAAGGGAGAAGCAGCTGACTACGGAAACTTAGGAACATTGTTTCAGTCACTGGGTGAATACGGAAAGGCTAAAGAAAAGAATACACCGAGAAAGCACTTGGCAATCAGAAAGGAAATCAGAAAGGAAATTATCAGAAAGGAAATTGGCGACAGAAAGGGAAAGAAATTGGCGACAGAAAGGGAGAAGCAGCTGACTACGGAAACTTAGGAACATTGTTTCAGTCACTGGGTGAATACGGAAAGGCTAAAGAATACACCGAGAAAGCACTTGCAATCAGAAAGGAAATTGGCGACAGAAAGGGAGAAGCAACTGACTACGGAAACTTAGGAACATTGTTTCAGTCACTGGGTGAATACGAAAAGGCTAAAGAATACACCGAGAAAGCACTTGCAATCAGAAAGGAAATTGGCGACAGAAAGGGAGAAGCAGCTGACTACGGAAACTTAGGAACATTGTTTCATTCACTGGGTGAATACGAAAAGGCTAAAGAATACACCGAGAAAGCACTTGCAATCAGAAAGGAAATTGGCGACAGAAAGGGAGAAGCAGCTGACTACGGAAACTTAGGAACATTGTTTCATTCACTGGGTGAATACGAAAAGGCTAAAGAATACACCGAGAAAGCACTTGCAATCAGAAAGGAAATTGGCGACAGAAAGGGAGAAGCAGCTGACTACGGAAACTTAGGAACATTGTTTCATTCACTGGGTGAATACGAAAAGGCTAAAGAATACACCGAGAAAGCACTTGCAATCAGAAAGGAAATTGGCGACAGAAAGGGAGAAGCAGCTGACTACGGAAACTTAGGAACATTGTTTCATTCACTGGGTGAATACGAAAAGGCTAAAGAATACACCGAGAAAGCACTTGCAATCAGAAAGGAAATTGGCGACAGAAAGGGAGAAGCAGCTGACTACGGAAACTTAGGAACATTGTTTCAGTCACTGGGTGAATACGAAAAGGCTAAAGAATACACCGAGAAAGCACTTGCAATCAGAAAGGAAATTGGCGACAGAAAGGGAGAAGCAGCTGACTACGGAAACTTAGGAACATTGTTTCATTCACTGGGTGAATACGAAAAGGCTAAAGAATACACCGAGAAAGCACTCGCAATCAGAAAGGAAATTGGCGACAGAAAGGGAGAAGCAGCTGACTACGGAAACTTAGGAACATTGTTTCATTCACTGGGTGAATACAAAAAGGCTAAAGAATACACCGAGAAAGCACTTGCAATCAGAAAGGAAATTGGCGACAGAAAGGGAGAAGCAGCTGACTACGGAAACTTAGGAACATTGTTTCAGTCACTGGGTGAATACGAAAAGGCTAAAGAATACACCGAGAAAGCACTTGCAATCAGAAAGGAAATTGGCGACAGAAAGGGAGAAGCAGCTGACTACGGAAACTTAGGAACATTGTTTCAGTCACTGGGTGAATACGAAAAGGCTAAAGAATACACTGAGAAAGCACTTGCAATCAGAAAGGAAATTGGCGACAGACAGGGAGAAGCAACTGACTACGGAAACTTAGGAACATTGTTTCATTCACTGGGTGAATACGAAAAGGCTAAAGAATACACTGAGAAAGCACTTGCAATCAGAAAGGAAATTGGTGACAGAAAGGGAGAAGCAGCTGACTACGGAAACTTAGGAACATTGTTTCAGTCACTGGGTGAATACGAAAAGGCTAAAGAATACACCGAGAAAGCACTCGCAATCAGAAAGGAAATTGGCGACAGAAAGGGAGAAGCAGCTGACTACGGAAACTTAGGAACATTGGTTGTGAAGTTGGCTCAGTCTAATTTCCAAGAAGCGTTTTCGTATCTTTTACAATCTGTTGAAAAATTCGAAAAATTGCGACACTTCGTAAAAGATAATGATTACTTCAAAATATCTTTGTTGGAGGAGCATGGTGCCTTTCCCTATGAGATACTCAGTAAATTGGTTTCTGTTTCCGGGAATCCTGAAGTTTCCCTTTACGTCGAAGAACTCAGACGGGCAAGAGCTCTAGCGGACTTGATGACAGCTCAATATTCTGCTAAACAGCCCCAGTTTTCAGGTGATCCACAATCATTGTTTAGCATCCATGATATCATTAAAAGAGAAGCAAATTGTACTTTTGTTTACCTTTCGGTTGATGATGAAGATGTACGGATTTGGGCTCTCAAAGCAAGCGGAGGGATTCTTTTCCGGTGCAAAAAGGGAATGGGTTCAGACAGTTTTGGAAATGCCGGCTCACTCCCAAATCCTAAAGTGCTTTTTTCGGAGAGTTTCCGCCACTTTGCCATCCTACCCACAGAGAATTACGAAGACCGCTCTTTAAACGACGAACCTGTTCTAAAGTTATCTGGCGATGTTAAGCGATCGCCTCCATCTCACGATGAAACTGAAGATATGAAAACATGTCTGCGTTTGTTCCACAAAATAATTATCGCTCCCGTGGCCGATATTTTGAAAGAGCCTGAAATTATCATTGTCCCTGACAGCTGCATGTATCAAGTGCCATTTGCAGCCTTACTTGACGAGGGAGGAAGATATTTGTCTGAAGAATTCAGGATCCGCATCGTTCCTTCCTTGACGGTCCTTAAGGTCATTCAGGATAGTCCTTCAAACTATCACAGTAACACTGGGGCACTGATAGTGGGTGGACCTGAGGTGAGAGAAGTGATTTACAAGGGAAAGCAAATGATCCTTGATCCATTACCAGGTGCAAGAAAAGAAGCTGAAATGATTGGAAAAATGCTTGGCATCATCCCATTGTTAGGGAAAGATGCAACAAAGGAGGCGGTTCTTGAACAGATGAAGTCAGTTGCGTTGATACATTTTGCTGCTCACGGAAATCCCGATCGAGGAGAAATAGCACTTTCCCCCGTCAGTACTACTAACAATACTCCACAGGAAGAGGAATACCTTTTGACGATGGCTGACATATCAAAAGTTAAACTTCGAGCTAAACTGGTAGTTCTAAGCTGTTGTCACAGTGGGTGCGGAGAGATTAAAGTCGAAGGAGTAATTGGAATCGCTCGAGCGTTCTTAGGATCCGGTGCTCGGTCGGTGTTAGTGGCGCGGTGGGCCTTGGACGACGAATCAACGGAGCAGTTCATGAAATGTTTCTACGAACACTTGTTCCGTGGTGAGAGTGCCAGTGAATCTCTTCACGAGGTCAGAAAGTGGATGAGAGGTAACTCCAAGTATTCTGAAGTGAAGAAATGGGCTACGTTCATGCTGATTGGAGATAATGTGACATTGAGGTAGGTGTTAAGGAAAAGGGGAAAGGTTTGTATTTAAAAAAAAAACCGCAGTAAAAATCACACTCGGGATGGGAATCTACTGAGGCCTAAATCTACTTTTTATGACATGTCAGAAGGAACCAGGATTTAAGTTTAAAATCAACAACTTTGTAGCAAGTCAGGGACACTCTCGGGTTTTGGTTGAGCCTGTTTATTGATATTATCTTAGAGTGTAAAGGAAGACATTGTAGCACATTCTCTCTCTCTCTATCAAATTCCGCCTCAAATTTCCTTGCCAAAGGCCTCGCAGTATCTGAAGTTCACAGCGACTAAACCTGTCAAAACAGCAGAAATTCTTGAAAGAACTGAATTGAACCAACAATTACTTTACCGACGAATCAATTCAATATTTTATAACTTCTCGGCTCATGTTGTTAATCTTATCTTACAGGAAAGAAGACATAATCTGCAAGGTTCAAAACTGATCAGCAAATCCTGTACCCTGAGTGAAGCTGACTTCTTTGAAGACCATCATCTTTGCCTCTACCGTATGAAACAGAACGTTTCGTTGGATAAAACCGATTTTTTTCTTTTTTTTTAGCAAAGCAGTTAATAGTATTAAGGATTTCTCTTTAGCAGTCAGGCATGTTTGTCACTTAGATGTTAGGACTAATTTTTGTGAGAGGCCTTCTATTGTCTACTCAGTCTGAGCAATAAGTTTTTACAACTGGGACGAGTCAGTAACTTTTGAATAATCTAACGAAAAGGTTATCATTGTGATTTATGAACCAGAATAGTTCTTCAGCCTTCTCACAAAGAAAAATAACCGATAACTAGAAATTTAGGATGAAATATTTTTTCCAGAGGTTTTCCAGTATACGTTTTTTCATTCTGTAAACGAGATGCCTTGAAATATTAGACTTTTTAAGGCTGGAACGAACTTTGGAATCGATTCGTCCAAAAAATGCATGGTTCGTTAGTTTAGCTAGTCATTGTAGAATTTTAGAATACTTTAGAAGTTAACCCCATCTACATATGAATCATGGGGCCAGCGATACAACTGGACAATTCAATCATCAAGTACTAATTTTGTTCAACAGGTCACTCGACCATTCTGTTTTTATTGTAATGAGTCAGATTGGAGTTTCCGGTACCTTGAATAAAAGCTAGTTAATTTTTTACCTCATTGTAGGACTAGTTACAATAAGGAAGCTGAGCCCAGCTATATATCGAACAAGGGGCCAGAAATTCAATCATAGTATTCTGTTATCAAATACAGATTTTGTTGAATGGGTCACTGGACCATTCGTTTTAATTGTCATCGGTTACATTTTAATTTCTTATATCATAAATAAAAGCACATGTTACCCGGACATAAAGTTTTAGTTTTTGTCATTAATTTCGCTCTGTAGTCGAGATAATTTTAACGAAGCCGTGTATTTCGTCGGGTCTTTACCAACTCAAATGCTAAGAAGAAAAAACAGGGCTGCATTATTTTATTGTTCAAATGAAACCTATGTTACAAGTGAGAATGACTTTTGACATTGTAAACGACACTTGATACCAAAGCCGTTTTCAACATGTTTATGCGAATGCACATGCAATCCGACTTCACGTGATCAGCAACACAAGACCAACCGGAATTAGTACTGTATCATTACATCCTTGAATCTGTAAAATTGTGGGACAAAAGTCTGACCTGACTACCATTCATCCGAACCGTGTTGTTTGAATCGTTTACGTGATATTTCAAAAGTTTGTCTCTGTTATACCGCAGGGGTTTTCATTATTGTAAAAGCGAAATTTCGGTGAACAAAACCCTTTGAAAATGTCATGCATCTTTATCTACCGACGCGACTGTATTGCCTTAGTCTCCTTCTTGACCAAAAGTTGCAAGTTCCGTCAGTTGAGACGTTTTTGCTTTGCATCACTGTAAAGAGCGTTATTTGCCAACTGAAATACTTTATCAGCGTGTTTCTTGCAGCCTTCGTCACAATCACTTGGTATGTTAATGGCAATGTTCACCTGATGATGGCTTTCCTGTCGCTGCTCGTTAATTTTAACCTTTTGATAATTCACTCCAAACGAAGGGATGCCGCTGTTTTGAAACCCTAGATTTAATCCAAAGCTTTCTGATTTGCTTGTTCGACTGCTTTTTTCCGTCTTCACGTCTTGCGCTATTGTCACGACCAAATCTTTTTTCTGTGTACGAGTTTGTCCTGGATTGTAGATAACTTGCTTCGTTTCAGGATCAAACATTGCAGGCACAAGCTCACAAGCCACCATTGGAACCCTTCCATGTGTAAACACGCATAGAAGAAGAACAATTTTGAACCAGCAAAACTCACAAAGCGAAACAGAAGCCATTGCTGCGAATTTGTTTTGGCAGTGAGATCTGAAAAATGAAAGTAATTTACATAAGATCTGTTGCGTTACCTTGATAAACCGGAAACGGCTCTTCAGGGAAGCTTCCCAGAATAAGGAAAAACAAGAGAACACCGCCTTCATGTATGCTATGCATAGGATAAAAACCTATTTCTTTGCGCTCAAACCCATTGCAGATCAAGGCAAGAATGAGTCCCGGAGATGCCAGGGAAACTCTTCCTTGATTTATAGACACAGAATACGGACGGTTTCCAACCGGAAAGGGGAAATTGTCAGGAAAGTGCTTTAACAGCGTGAATACAGAATCAAAGCAATTCATGGAATCTACGTAATACTTGCTGCGTGACCTTTGATAAACGAGACGCTTAGTAATAGGCTCGATCGGTACGGGTTTTTTCCCAGAAATAACACAAAGTGTTTAACCCCACAAACCAGTTGTTGCTTATCTTTTCTTTCGAATAAAACTTAGTTGAAAAAAACTTGCATGATGCCAGTGAGATTCGTCCTTGTAAATAATTTAACAGAAAGAGAATGATTTGAAACTAGAAATAATCAGCGAGGGAAAGCAATTCGTGGAGTTTACGTAATATCTGTTGCGTGACCTTCGTTACAAAAAACCGGAAGCTGAGTCATTTCCACCCGATGGGAATTTTCCATGAAGTAAGAGAATAAAAGTTCAATGATTAACATTTTCTTCGAATAAAAAACTCTCTCCTGATCTACTGAGTCACATTTACTGCAAGATGAGGAAATCTACCTGGGTTCTATTCGCGATGGTCTGTTTTATTTTGATCGTTTTTGCACCAGACGAGAGTTCCGGTTTCGTTCGCAGAGCTCTAAAGAAGGTAGAAAAAGCTGTAAGAAAAGTCGTCTTCAAACCAGTGAAAAAAGTCTTCAAGGAGGTGGTGGAAAAACCAGTTAAGTCTGCGTTAAGAGCCGTAGGACTCAAGAAGGTTCGCAAGACATACAGAGAATTCCAAAAAGAGGTAGTCCATTCTCGGGTGACTTTCACTGAAGATTCCTACCAAGTTAAGAAAATCAACCCTTGCCCTGACGGACATCATAATTTTGTGAAAACAGAGCAGCCAGTTGAGATTCACTTTGAAGACAATGTGGTAGTGATACAGGACAGTTATTGCCGAAAATGTGGACAGCATTTCTTCCACACAAAACATAAGGATGAACTTTAAAACGCAAGACTGAACTTTTAACTAGCGGGACATTCGTCAGTAAATCTAGAATAAAATGTTGTTTATTATTTCGTTATCTCCGAAGAGCTGCAAATTGTTCACTGAGTGTCATTTAGAAATAAATAGCAACCTCTGTTCGTTAAAAATACATTAATTCCAATTCTTTTTTTTTTTGACAACTCGTACTTACGGTTGCTAGAATTTGAATAAATTTTAGCTCGTTAACTTTCTCGTAATAATGGGTGACCTCGGATCATTCAGATGTTATGGACTTTTTGAACATACTGAATGATAGGAGCCTTCGCGTCCACAATTCTTTCTTTTTTCCAGGCAAAACTCTAAGAACATCGCTCGTGTATCGGTCGATTGACTATTCATAAAGATTGTGTCAGTCCTCGGTTTAAAACTTAATGGTAGCCTGCAAATTGTCCCCCATTGTCTCTGTACAAGCCAAGTGAGGCACACAGTTAGAATAATCAACCTAGCTATATCGTTTTGGCTCCTATCGCAGCTTTCCAGTTTTTTAAGAAAGCCTCAATGTAATGTCCTGAAATGAGAATTGATGCACACTACTGATCAATAGTCTGGAATATTTCGTTACAGTTCTACGCCCAACCTGACTCAGGTCAGCTGTTGGTATTTAGAAGCGATGGCCTGTGTAAGGAGCGGTTCTAATACAGAACTTAGTGCAATAACTTGTTTGAGTTGATCGAGCGTCATAAAAACCATTCCTGTCGCCATTCTACATTTCGAACAAACTGTTACGGCACTTTTGATTAACAGCCGTTTAGATATCTCCACTGCCCCATGGTCTTTGCTTGAGGAAACAGTTATTCCAATAAGTCTGCTTTTGTTTACTGTGGTCTATTTGACGGAACTGTGCACAGATATCGTCGCGAAGCCGAATCCCTCTTCATGGAAGTCATGTCGATAATTCGGGCAGCTGTATGTCGTTTTTATAACAAGAAGAAGGATAATTAATTTGCGTAGCACTTGATTTCCGATCATGATTACCATTCAGTCGAAAACTTTTTGCTATTTCGGAGCGGACCCGTTCTTGCCACGAAGTCGAGACAAGTCCTCTGGGACTTCAATACCATAAATAATGAATAAGAACAAGAAGAAGGAGAAAGAATTTGCGTAGCACTTGATTTCCGATCATGATTATCAGTCAGTCGAAAACCCTTTGCTATTCCGGAACGGACCCGTTCGAAACAACTCCTCTAGGAATTTCAATGCCATAAATGAACTGCGGTCTTGCGCAAACGAAATCAGATGAGTAAGGTGAATTAAGAGTAAAGTCCACCTAAAGGGGAATTTCCCGGAACGGTTATCCTCCAATCATGTATAGTTGATTGTGTTACTTATCTTCGCCTGCTGCGACCCCAGTCACTCGAGCGTTTTCCTGTCGAGTGTAGCATGCAGGGCCGTGGCTTTACCGCTACATCGTGGTGCAAAGGGTCCATGAAAATGCGATCGGCCCCGTTCCTTTTCCGGTCAACGCGCGCAGGAGTAATTCTCAATAACTGCGACCAGGTGTTAACTGGGAACCGCGAACAGTGTAGCTCTGCAAGAGTCGGCGGTCTCTCGCGTACTTGGCCCCGCCCCCACCCCCTCCTTCTCCTATTCCCCCCCACACCAACCGAAAGAGAAAACGCCTGACTTCAGGTTAGTTACTCCAAATCCGCGAGAATTTTAGGGGCCTTGAATCTATAACTTCAAATCTAAATTTCTAACATGAAAAAAGTTATTCCCTTTCTTCTTTCTCCTGTTATTTTCATTGTCATAGTTTTCAACAAATAAAAATCAAACGTGTGTGGAAGGTTTACTAAAAGCCAGATGAGTAGAAAACTAATGTAGGCTCAAGTGATCATGGTTAACGTGAGGTTATCATCACTATTAACATCCCCTTCGTCTGAAATTTTAAAAGAATTATACCATGAAAACACAAAATTTAAGTGTCACCATGTTGTTCCACCCTTTCAAAATCTTTTTTTAAAACAGTTCTCTATTTCTTTCCTTGTTCCTCTTTTCATGATCACAGATTTTTTCCACTGAACTTCTAGTCTCTTTGCATCCATTTTACTCCTTATGAGAAAAGAAGAAATACAGAGCTGACCAAAGTATAGGTACAGTAAATCTTGGGGAAACTTAACATTTTGGACGAAACCATTCGACTCGGAGACCAGTAAGTCGGGCGGGAAAAGTTAACAATTAACCACAACTCAAACCTTAGGACAAATTATTTGATCACCGATATTCAAGTGTTAGAAACTTAGAGTGGAAAAATTTATTCAAAGCAGCCATATTAACTAGAAGTGTTCAAAAGCTTGATGTCATTGCAATCGACCTAAATTTCAGCGCAACATTTTTTTGTAATTTCGTTTTGTTTTGTTCTTTTAGATGCAGTTTTCAAACACGAGACCTGGTGCTTCCGAGAAACTTTCCTATCCAGTTGCCACAACTGATGCAGGACAAGAACCTCGTCAGCAAACGTCACCTGCTGTGGAAGAGAAAACAGTACAAAGCGAAAAGACAACTGAAAATTCTGTTCCAATGGGTTCTTCTCTAAACTCAGTCGAAGAAACCGAACTTGCTCGCGCGTACTCAGCATTGGATGGGGAAGCTTTGATGGAGATATCAAGTAAAGATACATGTTTAAAAGAATGTGGGGATGGAATAACGCATTCTGCCTCTCCCTACCGGAGAGAATCCCATGAACATGACCAAAGTCACTCTGCCTTGTCTTCAGGAGATTGCAAAGGACTTTTTGAAGAGATTTCAGGCGAGGAGCAGACGGCATTAACTGTAAACGAGATCGAAAAAGACATTAGCGCCTTAATGAACGAGGAGAATCAGCTATCTGGCAGGAATCAACCTATGACACGCATGTAGATATATCTTTTGAAAATCTAGAGGATCATTCATCTTTTTCAATCCAGGCTCATTTTGAAAAGGCTAACGATAACAGTGTTTTGTCTGGCTCTCAGAAAATGATGCTATGGTCGAGAAGAGTAGAAGATCCTCTCTGGCAAATGATAATAAAACTCGTTCGGGATATCCATGTTCGTATCGGTTGCTATGCGAATTATCTCCGATACGCGAGCTGGATAGATGAACCGAACGATGACACGATTAATAATAGTAATTGAACTGAGTGGAGTGCGCGCTCGTTCGATTTTGAAATCACGCGAATGATTTCAGACCAAATTGCACGACACGAGGTTCAATTACTACTTTATTACATTCATTTTGAAATCGCCCAAATACAGGACTTGGTCAGTTCAGATATTTTATGGATGCAGTTCTGAGCCGGGCTGAAATTAAATTAATCCATTTTCGGGGGGGAAAAAGTAAGAGTTTTGGAAGCAAAAGTTGCAAAATTTGGCACATGATACTCTTTGTCTTTCATTTTCTTGCAATGTGATTGGTAACTTTAAACAAGCCTTAAAATCTGATTGGTTGTTTTGTTTTTAGTGTAACCTCTTCATTGGCTAGGAAAAAGATGCGATTTAAAGCAAAAAATGGTGCGATTCGTGAATAAATCGCACCAATTAGAGCCAATCAGATTACAGGGACCACTAGTGATTTCAAACTGGGTGTAATAAAACTTGATACCACTGCAATGCGCTGTAATAATCCATTATCGAACGAGAAGGTAAACTGACTCAAGATCCCTTTTCTTGTGGGATGCCTGCGAGGCATACCTCGTTGAAGTTCTGGCTGTTCTTTTTTTCCCTGATAGACACCAATAGCGAAATGGACCAATAGGATTTCTAAGAGCACCGTTGTTTACTTCCGGTCTCACAAATCAACAAATGGGATTTGAAAGAGCATCAGGTAAAAAAAATCCTTGTTTAGGTGCGCTTTAAAATCCCAAGAAATACTTAATTCTTTAACAACACTCCTGCGGTCTTGAGCGGACATAACTTGTCTGTTTGTCTCTTGATAACATCAATAATGGTAATATGACTTCGCGTCGTCCAATTCTGTCTGTAATCATACTTGTGATAAAAAAAATCGTACGACCGCGAAGAGGGAGTCCGATTTGTTAATCACGAGTGTGATTACAGACAGAATTGGACGACACGAAGTCCTGTTACAACTTAATCAAAACTATGACAGAATTTGAGAAAGAAACTATACATGAATTACACGTTTTCATAAGAAAAAATAGCTCGACGAAATGCGAGACAACAGCGCGCGCAATGACGCGTCCTGTCCACTTACAAAGGCATGACGTATTAATTGTCCCTTTAACTGTCCTTTTACATTGTCTAATTACAAGCATAACACGCACTCTGTCCTATTAATGCTCGAATCGGGCAGATGATAACCAATCACGTTCAAGAATTTTGTTATAGTTTTGATTGAGCTCCTAAATTTGTTCAGACTGGTGATCCTTGGGTAATCAACCGATTTCTAACGAAACTTGATTAATACCAACTTTTTTCTTCACAGATCACAATCCCAGAAGGAAATGATAACGATTCGGAGAATATTGACAAATTATGTTCTGACGGAATGGCTTCCACAGCTCTCGAGTCAACCCATTCAAATACAGAAGAGCCTAGCATAGAAACTTCCTCTTTCCAGACTGACCAATTGGAAGTGACGTCCGCAAATGCATCAAGTAATGCGCAGATGACTCCGAAAAGATGCCAGTCAAAAGAGCGTCCCTGAGGTGTAGTCAGAAAAAATGGTCTGCTTTGAAGAAGAGAAGAAAATCATTAGCATTTGGGAGGAAGGAGAATGAAACTAACGGATCAGGGAACCGCTGACCTTGGAAAATCGACAGCTGAAGTTGCAGGCCTTAGCTTCAATCAAGGTAACTAATGCCGGGATATCTTTTGGTGAGAACCATGTAATTATTGAAGGGGGGGTTAATTGCAATCAAAGCAGTTGTTTGAAAATCTAAGGAACCATGCGATGTAAAGCAGTATGCCCAAATTCTCAAAACCAGTCCGGTATTTCGTTGGTTTTTCTTCACTGCAGTCTAGAACTGAATTGGTAAACTTGCGTCATCCTCTCAGACTGTAACATTCAGCACTGAAACCTTCGTGATTGTCGATATGCACCAAGTTTGGCAGCTTTTTTATTTTATTGGAGACGCGTCTGACAGAAACGCGTAAGCACAAAAGTTATGATGGACTTTCACAAGTTACATGTAGGGCAAATTCCAACAGGAAGAACACTGGAGCGTTAAGTTTATCGACGATCTATCTTACCTGAGCGCTGAAAAATCTTGTAAAGAAGTTTAACTTCATTACCAACTGATTATTTCCTTGTTTATTCGTATAAAAAAAACTGCTGTTTTCACTTTTAGAGGGATCTAAAATCGAAAACAGCGAGAATCCACTTCAAAAGGAACGAAGGCGGATAGCAGACGAAGAAAGGTTGTCACCTCTAAAAGGATTTATTTCCCTCAAAGGTAACAATCAATTGTGCAAACTTACGCTTTATCGAGGTTCTTTCTTTCAGTGGTCTCTACATCCGGGGAATGAAATCTTTACAAGCTTCAAGAGCTTGCCCATCATAAAAGTTTCCTGCTAGGCTTTGAACAGCTCCATCCCTTACCATCCCCTTCCCCCCTCCCATCCCAAACTTTTTGTTTCAGGTTTAGAGAGGATCGAAATCGGAAATCTACGCGGTGTTTACCTCTATATATCAAGTCTTATACTTTCAAAATTTCTTTTGTCAGACGCAAGAACTAAAGATGGAGAAGATATAATCGCTATGAATCCCTCGAAGATTCCCAGTAAAAGAGATTTCACAGGGAGGAAGGAATACAATGAAATAATGGCCCGTCTGTTGTTGTAAGTGTTTTAATTTTTCAATTTCATTATTAATTCAATGGCGACTTACATTATAAATTTCAGAAGCATTCCCAACTGATGACTCAAGAGTTCGCAGATCTATTTTTGAGCGCAAATGACAGCCAATGAGAGAAAACACAGAGTTCTGTACAGTTACATCATCAGATGATTTGGTTCAGTTTATCAACTGAGTTGAAAATAAGAATTGACCACGGCAGAGAGTTTGTAAGCTGACGTTTCGAGTGAGCCGTCTTTAAAGCGTATCGCTCTTGAAATACCCCCGCACCGACGGTGCACCATATTTCTTTAGATTTTCAAATACATGTAAAGGAAGCGATAGCATTTGCTATAAATTTGACAACACTGCCCTCGTTAGTGAGTACTGAAGGCCTCCTTTCTAAGCACCGGTATTTCTACTGTTTGCAGTTTTGTACGCCGGTTATATAACTGGTAAAAATTAATCAAGTGCAATTTTCATTTTTAGGTTTACAAGGGAGTGATTCAACCGAACAGAACTGATGAATAAGTCTAGTTTTTCCCTTTACTCCAGTGTTGCCTTAAGTAAGAATTACTTGATGAATTACTTGAAAGAACATTGCTATTGAATACTACAACAAACATAGATACTCTCTCTCTTTTGACATTGTTCTTGGATTTATAAAATTAATTCTGACACAGTGAAACAATAGAGATATCTGTAAATCATTTATTTGTTTCGCCTCAAGCAAATACATATGTTTTGTAACGGAGACACGCGTCTTGCATCAATTTGATAATTAATTTTTTGGTTTAAATTCGAGCCTTCTCATTAACCAAACGCATAGTTCAACTTCAAATAAAACCAATAGACTATGAACTGATATTCTTTAGATAAAACCATTACTGAGTGCAGTCAGAAGCACACAAAAACAAACTCATATAGGTACAAATAAACAATGTTCTCTTTGTAATAATCCATGATTCGATGGCTCATCGATCGATTTAGGATTTGAATTAATTTGTAATCACACGTTTTCGAATACAATTTGCACTTTTTCAAAACATATACAAGTCAGTTATATTTATCTCAAACTGCAACTGGACTCCGGTAATGAGAAGAGTCGAAATTAAAGGCATTCAGTCACGCCGCAGTTGACGCCGAGAGTGTTTTGGCTTGCGATATCACTATGAATATCCAGTTTAAAAATTGTCTCACCAATCATAAGGGAGCTGTTTTCTCGATATGATCAGCAGAGGCCTTGCACAGAGAATCCTTGTAAAAATGGCGGGTCCTGCTTCCCAACTTTCATTGAGGAGGAATACAACTGCAATTGTGCCTCAGGATACAGTGGGAAACGTTGTGAGATGGGTGGAAAATTGTGGGTGTTGTCAAAATTCAGTAGTAGGGTTCGTTACAGCAACAAAGCGAATATTGATCAAAGGCACTAAATTATTCCTTAATTTCAACCAACCCAAGCAAACACGCACACGTTTGCAGTTAGAGGATTATAAACTTCATACCCAGCTCATGGCATTTAAAGGATGTAATTTTCTTAATCTCTTCCGCAGCAATTATTTTTTGTTATCTCGGACCTTGAGGTAAAGGATGAATGATCCCCTGTTATCTTCCTTAGATGCGATATAATCCATAGGGGTTACAACCAACCCCTCCCCTCCCCCCACTTTCACCACAGCATTTTGACAGGTTTCTCTCGCAATTCGCCCAGCCAGCAATTTCTTACACTCCTAGTTTGCTGTATTATACCCAAGATAAAAACACGAAAACCCTACTTAGAAATCAAAATTGCAATTTTTCATCCTGTTCCAGACGTTCAGTGAGTAACATGAGGCGCGATAGCAAACGGCGCGGTTTAATCTCAGAAGGGTATTTGATAGATCCTACGGTGTAACTGTAAAGATTGAAAATGAGAAATAAAACTAACTACTTCATAATGAATTGGGCAATGCTGAGCCATCAAAAATTATGAATGGTTAATTCTGCTTTAATTCAGATGCCAACAACTTTTTTCAACAGGTCACATTTTAATATGTGAGGGTGAATCTGGCCAACTGAGATGCAACAAAGAGGGAAAGATAAACGTTCTGTCTGCAAACTATGGCAGGCTAGATTCTCACTCATGTCCTCACTGGATGACTACTGACACCAACTGCCACTCAGGGAATTCTCTTGCTCAAGTGCAGCAAATCTGCCAAAGTAATTCTACCTGTGAGCTGGAAGCAACTAATGTGTTTTTTGGAGGTGATCCATGCATGGGAACATATAAGTATCTATTTGTCGAATATCAATGTCAATGACACTTGACACTCAGAAAATTTCAGGTAACTTAACCCTTAAAGTCTCGAGATCTGACTCTTAACTCTCCCCTCTAACTACTACACAATTCCTTGAAAATAAATCGCGAGAACTTGGTGGTAGATCAAGACTACTAACTTCTTGCTGATAACTTTGAGTATTTTAGTCTCAAGTTGGCTGGATAATGTGTGAATGTTACAGGGAGAAGTTACATGTTAATCACTGATGGGAGTTAGAGGGTTAAGAGACTTAATCTCAGACGATCCAAAGTCTGTAACTAAAGTCTTTAACCCTTTAACCCCCAAGATCTCATTAGTAATTCTCCTTACTGTCTGCCATATAGTTCTTGTGATGTTAGTTTCAAGAATTTGTTATTGGATCAACTAATAATCCCCTAATTAATATTTCTCTTTATTGTTTTTTTAGAGGGCACGGTAACGAATCTTGCAATCTGATTGGTTCTTTACCCGGTCAGTATTTTCCTATCTCTGTCAACGGGCCACCGTAACGCTTTCGTGAATCGCCGGGTGCATCCTAACTTTCGTTGTCATTTTTCATAAATATACCTCGTTTTCCGGCTGGGCAGTATTTTTAAGCAAACACCACGGTCACTACCTCACGCCGATAAATAACTTATGAATCCTCTCTTTTCTCTCTATCAAATCACTTTGGTTGACAGAAAAATATTGGTTTCAGAATGAATTTGTATAAACAATAGTGTCAATACAGTGGTTGACAAGCGGCCTAAAAACTGTCTGCAATTAATTTTAATCGTTCACAAAAAGTACCCAGAAAGTTAAAAAAGGTATTTGGTTACAGTTAAACTGAACGATGGAACTTTCATTAATTTAATATTTGAATTTTCTCGAGAAAATTGTTAGTAGAGAAAGAGCGAGCAAAGTTTTAATTTAAGTTCTACAACAAATATAGGCTCCCGGTGAGTCTTTCCAATTCCGTTCAATTTGGACATTTGTACCGTAAATTACACAACAGAAACTGAAGGAATTTTTTGAGAAAAGGCCGCATTAAATTCCCTTGTGTCTCGTTTAAGTGTGCCGTTCGAATTTAGTTTTTGTGAAGGAAAGACCAGATTTACACACGCCATTGCAGCAAACAAACGAGCAAACTCTCACAACTTCAAAATAAAAAAATTGAATTTACTCACAATTACTTTCCTCGCCGTTTACTTAATGAACATAGGTAAATCTTCGTACATGAATGAATCGTCGATGAGAGTGAATAATACTTTCCGTTAGATCATTGACTGATTTTGAAGAAAACATTCTCGTGACAGTCCTTGCCAAACTAGTTCCGTTGTTTTTCAAATGCTCTTATGCTTTTTTTTTTCTTGCGCGCTCTCTAATTGACAGGTGTCAGATTGTGACAGATACTTGTAAAAATAATGTTTCAAAGTTTGCTTGGAAGCCTTTTAAATCACCTTTATCGTTACGGAAATGAAAATGTTTCGCTGAGGCATCTCTCTTAAATTTGCATCACTTCTATTTTAACTACCATTTACCCACTCAAAAATTGTTCAGTTTATGGAAGATCTTACCGTATTTACGTCCATAAATCATTCGGGTTCTTTCGGAAAGAATTTCGTCAAGTTTAAAAACAATAAATATGTTATTTACCGGCTAAGGGTCGGTCCGTATGGTGAAAAACTGTGACCTCGGTCTTGAAAATGCTGCCCTCGGCCTACGGCCTCGGGCAGTATTTTCAAGACCTCGGTCACAGTTTTTCACCATACGGACCTCCCAGCCGGCAGATAACATATATTTATTCTCATCATGCACTTGTCTGCTTGATATTGTATTGATATTGTAAGGAGAAATTCTGTCTTGGTCACACATGGGAGTTCAAGGGTTAAGGGCATTAGAGGTAATTATTTTGAACAGAGCAGCAGGCAACATGTTATCAAGTGGCCAGCAGAACTCTGGCAGTTGCTGGCTTGTTTTGAAACTCCTGACTAATTCTCTACAGCAGAGCTATCAACAGCAATATCTTTGCACATATGAGCATGTGTAAATAAATATATGCATGTTATGGGTATTAAATTTATTATTATGCAGTCAGGCAATAAACATTGTAAGTGACAGACTCCCAAGCAAACAATTTTATGTGGACAATTAGTGTAAGTTATATCAATTAAAGTTGATCACAGTCAAACACTGGATGAAAGGTGACCTAAGCTTGAAAAAATACAGGCTCAACTGGAAACATAGGTACCTCTGATATTTACCTCTGTAAGATAAAAAAACAACAAAAACTACTTGAATTCTTTTAGTGTAGGTAATAACATGACTTCAAGCGCAATTCAGTGTAAATAAACACAAGAACAATTTTCAAAGACAACTAAAATTTGTAGTCTGAAAAATTTACAAGTACTTATTTAAAACAAATTACTTGTTAAGAAATCATGTTATTACTAAGTAATATTTACACCAAAAAAGCATAGCAGAAAGTCAGGACAGACAAACGGTTGAGAGTGTGCACTTTATTAGTAATTTGCACTGGTGCAACAACTTTGCACTTGTGTTGCATGATAAATGCACTAGTTTTCAGTCAACCAGAAGCAGGTACTTTTTCCATATACATTGTTAGGGTGCAATATTACAATCATTGACCCTGTCCTTCCTTATGGCCTGACACACACAGCACAGAGATCAGACCACAGATAAGGCATCAACAACAACTCTAAAAACACTAAAACAAAAAGGATCCAACAGAAACACATGCAAGGAAATTAATTTAAGCAAATTTACCCAACTGACTTTAGAGGAACAGACTACAACCCTAAAAAATAATCTGATGCCCTGACAGTATTGTAAAAAAATGTTCTTCCCATATTTTTTGTGTGTGCAGGAGGAAAATGATGGGAAGTGTGTTATTGCATCAGAGGGTCTATAATTTTCAAGGGATGACAATTTCTGATCAGTGCATGTCCATCCAAAATCTTTTTTGAGAGGCTGCTTTCGATCCAGTAGCAAGCAGCCATGTTGAAGAAACTTTTTGCACTACAAAAGAACTTTAATCTCTCAGAACTGATTTGAAAGCCATCATGGCTGTCATCCATTTGTTTTGGTGACCAAATAAGGCAGCCTCAACCCTCTGACCCCTAAGAGTGATTAGCATCTAATTTCTCCCAACAATATCTCCCTTGAATCACACAGCAAGGTCACAAGAATAAAGGATATGATCACCAACTTAAGATGCTCTTGATTGTTAAACAAATTCTCCTTGTCAGCACCTTAGGGATGCATAGAGAACAGTACAGAGAATATGCATACTGATGTTTGGGTATAAAGTGTTTATAAATAATTGATCATTCTTGTAAACCAGTAAATCAGAAAGTAAATTTCAAATGTTTAATTATTTAAAATCTAAATGATAATTACACACACAGCATCTTTATTTTGAAGGTAATAAAAAAAATATGTATCTGCATTTAGTAATAATTACTTGAAGGAACACCTTAAAAATGTTCTGGACAAAGCCAGTTTTCAAGGTAATTTCGATTTTTGACACTAGCTGCTGATTAAAATATTTTCTAAATTATGATATCAAGTAACTTGTGTAAAAAAAATAGCAGCAAAAATGTACATTTTCCCTGAGAGATCATGCTATCAGAATCATTAGTAAATTCAATCCATCAAGGTTTAAATACTGAGCAAAACCTCTAAATAGCAGCATAACTATGCACTACAATTTTTATAAACTCAGGGTAAATGCATAAGCCATTCACAAAGTGAAATTAAAGACTTGAGTTTGGACCTTTGACTCTTATTTCACTCCTTGCTGAGTTGATATTTCTGAAAACTTTTAAAATCTCCTGGAAGAGGAGATCATCACTATTCACCATGTTTTCAATCATGCTAAAGTGATCTACTCCTAGTAGTTCAAGCAAAGAACACTGAACATCATGACTTTTTAAGATTTCAACAAATTCTTTAGCCTGTCAATGAAACTCTGGGGAACCATGCTCTTCAATCACAACCAAAATAGGGCACATAAATGTTGGCAACATCTTTATCAGAATTTGATGAGGACTGATTTGTGCAGCAGATCCTTCTGTCAGTTTTAATGCATCATTAACATAAGTATTTACAACTACCAAAATCAAAAACTCCTGATAACAAGAACATACCATGAATGGCGTGTGGAATTGAAGGATCTTTGCTCCAGTCTGACACCATTATCATAGTGCACAAATGTGCCCCAGCTGAATGGCCGCACTGGAACAGTTTGGACTTTGGAAACCTGGTATAGATATATTTTACTGCTGACTTTATTTCACTCACCATCTGATTCAAGCTTGCTTCTGCTGCAAGGTTATAACCCACCACTGCCACAACACAACCAGCTTTAGTCCATGATTTACTAACAAAGCTGTAAATCTTCCTGCTCCCTACTTGCCAGTACCCACCATGAACAGTACTACTGGTGCAGAACTACCACCAATTTTTTTTACAGATACAGCTGTCTCATCAGTCTCCTGAGAAGGATAAAATATATCCACCTACGCTTCCTTTTCACCATAACAGACACTCAGTTCACAGTGAGAAATTTTGCAAGTAATTTCGATGTAGCTGGTACAGATGTTTACATGTTAATCTACTACTTCTCCTGGGTCCATTCACTTATTCCACATGCTTGGAGAATAATACTGTGCCAGCCACTCATTCTTTTCCTCATCCATGTTTGAAATATTCAATGAGAAGCACACTAGCCTGCAGGTCAAAAGGTTTTTTGGAGAGTTTTCAAGGAAAATCTTACAACTCTTTACTAGTTCTAAATACATTCAGAAAATTACCAAAGACATCCCAAAGAGTTCTGACACAATCTTATCTCCAGAGAAAGCATGATCATTGACTTCTCTCTTCTTTAACTGGTGCAGGATTTTTTTATCAATGCATTTTAAGAAAGGTGTCAGCGGATGCAAGGCTGTAATTGTGGAACGTTTTTGTTCCAAACAAGAGCTGGTGTATGAGCTGTGAGCTGG